CTATACAGAATTGGCATGGGATAGCAATCAAGCATGGTGTTTGCATTTAGAACTAGGTAGTCAGAGAATGAACGCCACTCATCAAAGGTCGCCTTGACAGTCATAAGGAATGCTGATTCTGATGGACCGACGACCCCAAGCAATGATATTTGTTTAAAGTGGTACTTAATCGTTGAGTATTTGGTGGGAAAAGGGAAGTGAGCCCCAGTACTGACTCGGCTAACAGTTGTCGAGATTTTGTGCTTGATCTAAGTTGGATTGACTAAAGCCAAATATGTTCGTAAAAATCTAAATCAGATTTGTTGTCGGTTTGCAGGATCATGCAGTGAGTAAATGCGACGTCTCCTGTAAGGCCAAGTTGGCCATACGAATAGCTGGAAAATAAATTAGTTTCGAGGTTTTGGGGGTGATAAGAAGATCAAAATAGTTTAGAAGGTCAAGGTCTGTGATTTTGGAAGTCAGCGTTGGGACAACGAAAAGCCGACGTAACGGACGTTGCAATCTGAAGTCGGACGTCAGAGATGTCCACTTTTACTTTTGAATGGCTAACCGTTTACTGCTGAGAAGATGCAGCATGAGTTCTGAGGTTGGTTTCCGGATGGTTTTGTTTGGACAACTGATATGCCGGCGCTTGAGAAGATAAGAAATCACACATTGTTAAAAGCGGCGTGAGGGAACTTGGCTACATCTCGTACGTCCGTCAACAGAATCCGCAAATTGCGCCTGACGCCCTCGTTTCCGAGCGAGTTTGGTTGGCGTGCGGCTGCCTGTGCAGCCCGAGGACCGATGACATCCGTATGTTCCAGGGGGAAGGAAGCGTAACGATTACTATTTTTAAATGAGGCTCAACTGTATCGCGAGCTTACTTGTAGGTTGGTCAATAGAGCTACAAAAGTCGGCTGAATTAACTAAGTGAGTTCACGTACTGCTTATTGAAACCTTTACCTACCTGGAACACTCGAGTTGATTTAGTTAAGGGCTATGATTGGCTATCGATACTTCAATTAGGAAAGAAACACTTGCAAAGTACTATCTTGTGCAAATTGGCACATCTTTCTAAATATTTGTGAAGACTTCAGATCCACTGAGAAAAGGACTGGTCGATGCGCTGTGGTGTTGTCAGCTGGGTACATTTCAGAGTCACCAGATGTCATTGCAACCGGATACAACTGCATATTTTGATGTCTGAGAAAGCACTACCATAGAGCCAGGTTGATTTTTGTTATTTTAACTGACGTTATGGAAACCAATAGGAAACATCTGACCAAAAAAATGAATTTTTGGAGTAACAAAAAATTATATTTTACAGGGGAAATGTATTTCCTCATGCTGTTTTTCAACGAACCAAAGTAGTTGGCACTTTTTTACCATGAAACAATGATTGCTAGACCTAAGTCTAGGGTTCTGGGTTTAAGTGGTGACCTGTGTCCTAAAACACCTCATTTTTAGTGAATTATGCACAACAAAAGTTTTCGATCAGTAACAATGCTAAACAAACCTCTGAGCCTTAAACGGGTTTTCCTGAACACTTTCCATTTGAGTATTATTAGCAGCAGTTCATGAAATTCGCGAATATTGCAAATGGCCAGTGAGGTCTGGGAACTGCCACTGTAACTGGGTGAGAACAGGTTGGCCATGGGATAACGTATTCATAAAGTGTGTTAACCATGAAGCGTGGTTGGGTGTGTTGCGTTTTTTATTACTTCGAGAGTGACGTTAATGGGATCTGTCGACGGGGGTACGTTAGTGCACAAGAGGAGACGTCAGCCGATAAACAGCTAGCCTCTCGCCAACAGTACTAGTTCATTTTGATCATGGGTAAAGGCATGCTATGGCAAGCCACTCAACCTCATGGCTGTGATTAGTCCAGTGGAGTCACAAAGCAGATACTACCTGTAATATTTTTTGCCCCATATGCCACAGTGTCAGGATTCAGAAAAAGCTAAACATTTATGCCAATGCAGGTCGAACTGATAAAAAATGAGAATTACGGTGGATTCATGCCATGACGAGTTCCTGACTCATACGCCTCTTTGAACAAATAAATGATATTTTGAAATGAACAGTTCACAGCAAAATTGAAGTCTGTAGCATTATCCATTTGCAAAGAAATAATGTTAGAGTGAAAGGAACAACTTCAAGAAGAGCTTAATGACTTAACTTGCCAGTTATTTAATGACGCAAATGCTCGTAAAGCATTTCAGGAAATTTCAGGGGGTAGGTCTCACTAATTGAACTTGGGTCTGGACAATTCCAAGCCCTTCGAGCAAACCGTCAGTTCCTTGAACTCCAGTTGCACGCACCCTAGTTGCAATACATTTACGGAAAATTACTGCATTTCAAATGTCTATTCTACTTCCCATTTCACGTGACCAACTTTCTATAATTTAGAGTCCTTTATGGTAGTCTGAAGAAATATGCACAAGCATTTCTGACTTGTAATTTCAGTTGCATGATCACTTGCAAAATAATGTGTGGCAGAGACAGTAGCTTTTCTTGCGCATATGACTTACTTATCTGTCTGGGAAATATATTAAGTTTCAAAATGCCAACTTTATTGACACATTTATCTGCCTCACAGCTACAGTCATATTGATTGCAAAAGGTCAGAACTTTACCTCATAAATTTAGTAAAATACACAGGTAATGGACGAGGAGTGTCACATTTGCGTGGCTCACATGCGGGCATTTTGCCCAGTGAGTTGCGGGGGAAAAGTCGACGGAAATGAAGCCAACACCAGTGATCAACAACACCAGCTTTAACGGTTGACATATTAGCGTTTACTAATTTACTCTAAATGGCTTGCAGTTTCGTATCAGATTTTGTGTGTACCATTTCTAATAACTAGATTAAAATTAATGTCACGCCAGTGGCCGGGGCAATAAAATAAACGAAAACGGTATAGAGGAAGCTATAGGGTTTCCTGCCCCGTAGGCGTACTTGTATACAGCAAGCAATGTGCAATTTTTCAACATGAACTCGCGAAAAATCAGTGACTGTATTTTAATTTTTTTTGCCACTGAATAGACATTCATTAATCATCATTTATCACGATTTTGCGTTCATGTACACGGTCCCAGCACCCAGTAATTTGTCCCACATTAAATTGTTTTAGTGTTTTATAGTAGGTCAGGGCGTAATTTATGTCCTTCAATAACATTTGACTTCTAATTTGCTTCCGCTTGCAGAAAACAAAATGGTTTTACCAATCCTGTTTTATCTGTTCCTATCGTTTGGCCCTTACTAGCTAGTGACATGGCAAAAAGGGGCGGAGAATTTTAAACATGGCTGGTCAGGTGACCATTTATTGCTGTAAGCGGTGGGGGAGGTTTCCGTTACATCACTGAGATTTGCAGAAAAGAAGCGAAATGCCATGGTAAATGATGCAGCCGACACAAACTGTAATTAATTTTAGACACGCAGACATGGCTGTTGATCGCCCCTAGCTTCAGTAAAATGTCGGTGGACAGTAAATGCAATATATTTCAAAGATATTAATAATTTTCACTTACCCGGAGGCCATTAAAGTATTATATTCCATTTGATTTCAGAACCTTACTTGTAGCTGCTTTTTCAAATTAATTTTTATGTGTTTGAGCTCAGAAATAACCTAACTCGCAATTGCTTACTCCGTCCAACGCTACCTGCCTCACAGTTCTGTTCGTCTGCCACGTGAGATGTAATGGATAATTGGTCAGTTTGTGTAATTGGTCCTGAAATCCGCAGTGGCGTTGACCAAAACCATTTTCGAAGATGAGGCAACAATGAGGGATGTGGTGTGATTAGCACAAGCATATCCGGCTCATTTACAGTTTAAAACGATAATAGTAAAACACACGGTTCATTCATCATCCGCATTTACTCATTAACATAAGTGAGTGTTTGTGCACCCGAAAATAAACAAATTTTGGTCCACATATTTTGTAAATGTAATAAAATGCTCATCAAATACAGCTAGTGTAAACCATTAATACTTAGACTATAACAAAATGCCAAATTATTTTATGAAATATTTGAGAGCGTTTAAATTGTACACAAAGGAAATCCTGAAAGCCTTGGATCTTCATGGGTACCAAATATGCAATCGTTGCCGCTTCTCGAAATTCTAAAGCGAGTTCTTCACTTTTGAGCTTGTTTTCCCCAAAATGTTACTGTACGTTGTGATGATATGCTCTCAGGGAAACGAAGTTGGTACATGCTGTTTGTCTTCAGCAAACTAACCACTCGAAAAGCCCTTGGCTTCCACGGAAACTGACTTTCCCATATGGATACTTCAGATAAATTTTCATTGTAGGGCCATTTGCAATAAACCTCATCAAACCTTCATATTTTTACACTTATCGTAACTAGAAATGTAGACATTTTCCTTGCTGAAGGTGGGTGTGCGGTGGCACATTTGAATTTTACCAACCAATCAGGTCCATCACCTTTATCATGGGAAATCTAAATTTACTCTGCTAAAGCTGAATTCACTAAATTAGGGGAGAATTACAGTTATTTTTGACGCTGACTTTTTCAGGATACCTGACTTTTTAACGGAAGTTATCCTCATGGCATAGTTGGATGGTGTCAAGTGAACAGTACTCGCCACCAAACTAACGGTAAGAAAACACGTGAAAGAATGCACGTATTTTAATTTTTTTCACCAAGATTTGCAACTAAACCTGTCTAAATGAAATTCGCCTTAATCTGGTTAAGCCCCAACCATAATTTCCAATGACCTAAAGCTGGGATTTGGAATTTATCAACGTTAATTCGCCGAAAATTAAAGACTCACAAAAATCCATTTCGTGTGGCATAGAAGCAAAGTTTAGTTCTTTTATATAACTTCTAATTGCAACCAATATTCTTAAGGTTACTTGTTATGTCTTTAATTTAACACAATACAAAATGAGCAAGCGCGTGATAATGGCTTTGCACCAAATAAGCATACAAGATAGCAGGGCAAAATAAGGCGAAATCAAGAGAGAGCACAAAAAGCTAAAAAAACAGCTCAAATTTATCCATTGGTCCCTCTTTGCTCACGATTGCTGCAAACTCCTTTTCCCAACTTTGGGGGATGCTGTGGTGTCATTTCATCCATTAAAGGATCATGTTGTAAGAAAGCCTGGAATATCTCGTCGGTTTTTTCGTCTATCGTGTAGTCACGACGCACGCACTTTGTCGCCGGGGATAAACTGCCTCGTATATCTGTTTCGGAGGACTTTGAGCGACAGTGAATATTCTGGCTAAGCGACTTTGAACTTGGAAATGATGTTGATTGAGAAGAAGACCAGGCAGACTCGACCTCGAGACTTTTTCGGGGATGCAGCTCCTTTCCCGACCGTTGCTGCTTCTTCTTTTGTGCCAAGCGTTTTGTCGCTTCTCGGTAAGTGTGGGAATTGTCATAAAAAGGGACACGATGGTGGCCAGCACTGTAAATCCCTGGTCCCCCAGATGGGGTCTTTTGTTTTAGACAGTCAACACTGATTGTCAGTGATGTGGGTTTCAGCTTGAGCAGAACAGGGGCACGTTTCTCTTCGCCACTGGATTCTGATCGGAAATGGCGTCGGCTACTGTATGGCAGGGGTCCGTCTTGATAAAAAGAGCACTTCTGCTCCCTGAGAATTTCCCCTTCAATGTGTTGGGGATCGCTGTTGGAGGAGTCTATTGAGAGGAACTCTGGTGTTCTATTGTAATTTGCGTCACCTGGCACAAATTGCCTTTCAAAAATCTTCTGGGTTCTTACAAAGCAGTCGGTATCCGATAGATGCACTGTGGGTTTTGACTGATCTTGTGTGTACGCGGCTAGATGACTAGGGGAGTGAGAAGCAGCTCTTTGTACAACAAAATTTGTACCTGAGAAATGGTCGAAAGAACGAGCCGGTTTTACCCATTTCTTGGAATCAATTTTTGCGACGTTTGCTATAGAACAAGTTTGATATTCTGGAGTTAGGTACGTACCCCTCTCCGAGCAAAGACTTCCTTGAGGTGAGATGGTGTTTGTATGATGCTGTTGAAGGACACTTTCCTCCATGGAATAGATTGAATTTTGACGAGACAGTTGTCGTGATGGGGAATTAATGGTGAGCATATTAATGACTGATGACCCCACCACAACTTCACCTATGTCTACAGCTGATACACGTCTGGACGCCGGACTGAAGACCAAGTCTGGTGGGATTAAGCGTGAAGCCTGTGGTTGAGATGTACCATTGACTTCTTCTGAAATATCTTTTTGTACTTCCCTATCAAGACGCCGTTGTAGTTCCTGTTCAAAGGTCTCCCCTTTTTTTAGCAAATTAGGGAACGAAATTTCCGCGTCTCTGTCAATTGTCAATCGATCACGACGAATTTGACGTGACAAGCGCTCCTGCTGCAATTGTTGCGGGTTGGGTGCACCAAAAGTGGAGGAAGTAAAAGGTGGACTTCCAGGACTTCGTGAAGTACTTGTTGTCTGTAGTGGCAGAGGGGAAAAACATCGACCACTCCCCATCTCATTTGTGACAGGATCTATCACCAGTCTGTTTGTTTTTTGCCTAGAACAGCTACAACAGTCTTCGGTTAGGAAATTTTCTGAGTTTTGAGGAGAATGACAGCACGCTGGCAGCCCCATATCCCTGGGATACATCATGATCATCTCCGTATAGGAGCTGGAGGTGGGGTTTTTCCGAAGCTGACTACAGGAGCAGGTACAATTGGGCGAACGGTAAGGCTTATCATATCCATGTCTTTTGTGGTAAATACAGCAGAAGGAACGTGCTGGGGCACTTCGCAGCTTCAAGTTTGATTCAAGATGGCGTGTTGAATAGTTGATGATGGCAGGCGATGTCATGGGTTGGAATGCACATCCCGCGAGCTGTTTATTCATTGGTGGATTATCGCTGAACCGTCTCTGTGAGGACACAGGTGGCAAGAGTGACATGAAATCCTCTTCGGGGTTCTCTTCTAGACTTTGGAGCATGCTCATTTCACCGGAGTCAAAACCGAAGGAGGGAACTGTGAGTTCTTTCTTTGATGGAGATCGAACAAATGTCTGGTGCTGATGCTCAAGGTGGTTTTGGATTATGGCCTGACTCATTGGGGTGGTCTGCTTCCATAGCCGAGGGAGTTGCTTCTTGTGTCCTGCTTCGGATCCGCAGGAAGATAATCTTTTGCTAGACTCGCCAGAAACTTGATGTCGCAGCTCAAGACTTCTATTCTCACCAACATTCTTATTCTTAGCAATATTCATTCGACCAGACCATCTGGAATAGCAAATATGGTATTATTAATTTGCATTTTTATGAGAGTTGAGACAAATATTAGTGCTTTAACTAGGCTAGTTGTTACATTGTTGGAAGATTGTTTGTAGGTACTCGAATATTAAAGCTCTAATGATCTCATTAACTGTATGTCTGAAGACAGTATGTTTTTTTTAAAAAAATGAGAAAAACGAAATTAGAAAATACTGACAAGCTATTTTAAAATGATGGAGCTTAAAACGTGTACAAAAAATCGAAATTGAGAGGACTTTTGATAAAAAAATCATGGATACTTCTCTGAGAATGATTACGTCATCTCACGTGTGTTAATATCGACGCAGATAGAGAACGAAGTTATTTCTCCAAAAAAGTAATTTAGCCAAAACAATTCGAAATATTTTAAATCCACCTTTAGTTTCATGTTAATTCTTAATGAACTGTGCTATAGTCACCCAACGATAATGTCGCGGGTTTAAAGTAAAATTGTGTTGTGTATTTCAGTTATATTGGTTAAAGACAAATAGCCCAGGTATGCTGATGAGCGTGGATTAGAATGAATCTATCTAGACTTGAATCGAACAAAGGTCAAATCGCTGTTTTACATTGCTTTTGGAGCTCCATGCCACACACTCCAAAAACAATGTTGATGCGAACTTTCCTTCCTTGTACTTCAAATATTACCATTTTTCGTAAATATGAAAAGCGCTGATGAGCAACAAAAACACTCCTGATCTCAGCAAATTAAGTGACCTGAATTTCTCACAACTGCCTGCCTCAACATCTTAGAAGTAACTTAACTGGGCTATTGCAGAGACTCATTCTCATGGGATGCCTTCGACGAAGCTCATTTGCGTACATCTAGGATGGCTTTGGTGATGGGATTTGCAAACGTTTGCCGGATCACGTAAGTCACCCGATCAAAACAAACAAGCGAGTTTTCAAAGTGCTTCGGACTGGAATCAAGGTTACTCGCTTGCATAAATGCAAAACTTTCCATGGCTTTTAAAAAAACATTTCATGCTAGCCATTATTGTCCGTGCTCACAACTAAGCGAATTCTGGTGTATTTTGTTCGCTTAATGGCTGTCTATTATCCTCACTTTAGGGCAATTTTGTTGACGTTTGGTGCTTAGGCGTGCAGGAGTGTCCTGTAATATAACAGTCATTAATTCGCATTTCAAGCTTGGAAATAAAAATGAGCTGAGCCTTCTATTAATAAATTCATAGTCAACTGCAGTAAATGATTTTTTTGCAAAACACCAAATTGTGAGCCGAAACATAATCCACCCAATGTTTGCCTCTCATTAGCTGCCTCCCTATGACACCGACCTTCTTAACCGAAATGAGTAGTTACAGTTGCCCTCATAGGGCAATGAAACCTACGCTTAATATTTAATCAGTTTAGCGCCTTGTCACGTGTAATATTTGCATTTTTTACGTCTGCCATAACATGAGACCACCCTGCGGAGCTGTAATTTTTTAGTGCTTACTCTAACTGTAATAAACTAATTTAAAATACGGAGGTTTGTTCAGTGATGGTTTTATTTTAGGCGAGCATTAACTCCTCAGGCACTTTCCGTTATTCACAACTCACCTGATGTGGTGCAACATCATTTGAATGCTTGTTGACGCATAAATTTAAAAACGAATTGCTATTCTGTTAGTGAAAATTTGGAGAAAACTTCAGGAGTAAGTTTATTTAGTGAAGTAAACATTTTGTTATCTGTTAGCATCAGGATAAAGTTTTTTTAGAATGTTCACAACCTTTTTTTACAAATTTTTATACGCTTCGAGTCATTTGGACCCACAGAGTCCCAATAATTATGTTTGGTTGGACTCATGGTTCCAGTGAAGAACTCAACTGAAACAGGTGTGCTAATCGGTAAGAAAAGGTTCAGGACCTAGTATTCGGCTACATCAATAAAATTTGTATGTGTAAACTAAACTTGAAAATATTGATGGTTTGAAGAAAGTCTATTACTCTTTCAACGCAGATCATAAGTAATATTTCAAGTTTTACAAAAAAATTATTCCTAAATGAAACTATAGCTGTATCCTTCAGTTTTTTTCACGTTGAAGCTTTTTTGTAAGTTTGAAGGATTTAGCTTTAAAATGTAAAAAAATCTGCTTTGGTAATTTTATTGACAAAAAGATCAAAAGACAAAACCAAAGCAATTGCACTCATTTCAAGCATCTTAATAATTATTAGTTCTTTGACATGTGGTGAGCAGCAAGCCAGCACAGTTAGCAAGCGTGAGCGAACACAATTCGGTCGATTAACGTGAATTCACTTCACGCGACTCCTTTCGTTCCGGAACTGATGCCTAGCGAAGCTATATAAACGCATTGTTGCCTTGTACACCGCACACACACGCCGCTACTACATCAATAAATAAGTTGAGCTACGCGCCACCTGCATTTCTGCTTTGCTATCGGTCGGGCCGTGTCAGTGTGGATCGTCGGTCCCAGCGTGCTTATCTAGCCGCATTGGGGCCGGCTACATGCACGTACCCTTTCTACTTTAATCAGACGAGTCCGGCTAAATTGGATTCATTTATCTTACATCTACACATAGTACCGTCTGATAGAACGTTGAGAGTTTAACTTTGAATGTTCCGGTTTTTAACAAGAAACGATGGCACCTGGACCTCAAAGAAATCCGAGCTGCACCTTAAAATGGACTTCATGTGTAAGCATTGCCATCAACCTCGATTAAAGCATTCTTGAGAAGACAGACCTTTTCCCTGATGATTGTAACTGGTGGCAATTAATCACCGAAGTTAATTATCAGGTTGTGGAATGCAAATAAATTAAAAATCCTGGTTGTGGAATCAATTCTGTCCCATCAGTGTATCCAACAGACAGTTAATTGGTCCTGCTATAATTAATACTCGAAATGCGGCAGTAGGAAATGCCATGTAGCACGTGAATTTAACATAACCAAAACGTCTACAAAATTGTAGTTTTTCAGCTGATGTACAGATAAGTCCCGAATCTGGAGTTATGCTCAAAAGCGGGCTCAGATTTAGGCCTACATGTGAATTATATTACCTTGTTTCTGCGATCAAAATACTTATGTGCGGTGTTGTCAAGACCACTGGCAACGGTGGCCGTATGTAAAATGCTCTTAAGCTGATAGGGTTGGTAGTGCCAGTTTTACGTATGGACTGTTGGTTATTAATTTGTTTTTTGGCAAGTTGTTACGTAGCAGTGGCAATGGACTGCTACGAAGCGATTTCTTCACGCCGTCTTTCTACCGTTTTCTTTGTTACCGGTCTGCACGGGAGTAATTGAACAATAGGGATTTAAATGTGTCTTGTTAACCGCTGCTGTCTCAGTCAAATAGAATGAAAGCTAAAGTGAAATCAAAGACTTGACCATTCCAAGAAAAACTCAAACCATGGCCACAAAAAAATTTTCCTCGCCTTACGCACATTTTTCCTCTAATCACCCAAGGCATTGGCCATGGTAGTTTGCTGTCATTTCTGATAGATGGCTCGATTATAATTCTGCATTCAGTCACGATTATTCACATGTATGTGAATCTAGTCCCTTTTAATTGCTAATCACAACGTATGTTTATAAGTTACTTAGTTTGCGCTTTAATTGCCCATAGAATGTCATGCAAAAGAAGCGAATAATTGTGTGTGTGTCTTTACAGGAGCTGCGTGTCAATATCTTGGTTCAGGAACTGCGATATTCAAGTTAAGCAAAAGCAAAAAATTTCGTTCTTTGAGTGTGGCGCTTTTCCCCACTTAACATTAAAATCAAAGTAGTACAATAAATTGCTCAATTACATTTGTGTACGATTGTAGCAATTCTGCATATGAGAATGGAGATAGAGTTCGGGTTTTACTTTTCACATAATAGCTGACTCCGAAAACTTAAATATCTGCGTTTTAAACAGGAACATGCACTGTAAGTCTCAACCGGGCGTTCACACTGTGAGAAATCGGGTGAACTTCCGTTTGTGAGGAAAATAAAGTCTCGTGCATGACGTCAAGCAAATTTTATTAAGCAACATTAAAATTTTCATCCACTTTATAACTCTGGATGGACGGCACTGCAGTAGCACTTTGATCTGGCGTGGGCTGACAACTAACTAAACTGCAGTTTCGTATCTAGTGGGCATGAAATACGTCTTTGCTGTACTCATACAAAACGCTTCACACATTTTGTAATTTAAGTCAAGTGAAGTTGAAAACTCTCTATATTCAGGAAAGTTACTTAGTCGGAATAGTTTTCAAAAGGGTAAGTGTATGTAGTCTGCTTTCACGCCTTCACCTATCACAACAGGTTTTGGCCCACAGAAGTCGGTGAGTGAGTATTTAACCGTTCGGGGTAATATTGTGGCGATCTTGTGTAAAGCCAATCAAAAGGCAAGTTGCCTATCTACTGCTCCGTGTATTTGCACTTTAACTATTTCGACTACAGTTCCAGACAATGCCAGTTCTAATGAGTTACATGGCGACTAGTTTGCCTTATCTAGTTACTTTTATTTGTGATGTGTAGATAAATCGTAAGGCTTAATGTGTGATTGTCATCAAGAAAGAGCTTTTTTGTGTATCGTTGAGGACGGTGACAATAATCCAAACTGTCAACTTGAATATCCTTAGACTCTGCTCGCTACTAACAATCTACGGCATACAAAACAAAAAAAACGAAAAGGAGAATACCCCTTCACGCTTTAGTCTATCCTAATCTTAAATCACGGAGTCAATTGGCTAATGATACCTTCTGAAGGCCTGTCATTTACCTTGCTGTGCCATTTAATAAAGGCGCAAAAAATGTACCCCCTTCAATATTAAAAAAGACGCATTCAATTATGTGCTTTAAAAAGGTCTAATTTTAAAGCCCTCGAATGTGACCATAGAAAATTCATTGTACTACTATAGTTAGTAGAAAGCACTATCATCATGAGACGGTTTCGATTAAGTTTTTCAGTGAATTTTCAATCGCGGCTTTTTATTCGATGATGAGTGTAAGCACCTCGAACGTTGCTGGTAGGAGGTGTCGCGCTAAGAAATCACTTTCTACTAATTCAATGCAAACAAAATGCTGGATAGTTTATGAGGTGAATATGCACAATGTACGACCACTTCTGCTCAATAATTAAACAAATTTAAATCACAACTTCTGCAAATTGTCGAACTTCATTAAAAGACTCAAAATACGTTGGTTGCAGTTGCATCTCAAACACGTTGTAAATAAGTCATTCAGGGAATTAGACAATCCGTTTTAATAAGTGTTGTGTGAGGTAATGACACATTCCTTTTTTTGTAGAGAAAGACATCGAAAATTTTCATTTAGGAAAAGTCCTACAATGAGAAAGTGCTGACATTTTTGGTAGAAGTAGTTGCAGGAACAGAAGACACAAAGAGTTTGTCAACAACAGTGTTAGCACATGATAGTGTGCAAACGTGGATACTGAAGCAGAAGGCTCCGCAACATCAAACACATTTGTTTGCTTGAACTCAACTTCACGAGGATAGGGAATCAAAAAGGGTTTTATTACTTTTTGTTCACCACACTGCTCAGAAACCTATGTCGCCATAGTTATGACCGTGAATGTTCCTTTTCTTGGAAAAAGCGTTCACTATTATTATTACTGTTGTGCGTTTCCTAGATGATTCTTGTGGTGATGAACTGATCTGACTCTGTTTCTCAGTCAAACTACCATGCCTAACATGAGGGCATTCGACATTTCGAGAACTAAAAAAATCTTTAAGTGCTAGCATTTAAATTCCGTAGGCGATGCCCTTAAAACATGTTTATAAGCTATCTTAGCATAAATTTAAAACCACACAATACCTAGCATCAGTCAAATGTCCATGAGTACTTATGAGGAACAACAGTAATAATGTAAAACTAAATTAGATCTAGAGGTCAAATGCACGAAGGTACCATCCTCACCAGGAAAAATTATTCAAATTTCAGGCACTTTGCTGCCCGCCGACTAATTATTACTGGTCTGGTTTGCATTAAGATGCATCTTAAAAAATAAGCTCATCACATACCTCAGCCGTGAATTCATGTCAGTGCGAAATGTATTTTAAAATAATGTGGGTCTGAGGAATAAGTGCCTTAGGGTATGTTAGATTTTACGGAGCATTGTCAATTGTGCAGTTTTATTGACTGAGATGCATAGCTTCGATAAGAAATCGTGTTTAAAACCAATCCCGAATGACGTGCTGGATGAAATAATAAAGAGAAGTCTAAAATCTGGTAGGACTAAAAAACGACACTGTACATTGTGATAGGATGGCACTTAATTTTACTCCAATGATTCTATCTGGACCGAGCAGGCAAATCTGCATTACTTTAAAGGTTAATTGGGCTGTCTGGCGGCAATTGATGTGATCATTTTTGAGAGAGGCCAACAGTCAGAGTAGCGAATGAAAGTTGGCCTGTAGGCATCCCGATCAGCACACTTCTTGTGGATTTAACTGTTTTTAATTCCTTTTGGCGCATTACAGCACACTAAACCAATCCAACGTCAAAAAGGAATTAATGAAGGATCTAAGCTGTACGAGTAAGACAATTTGCATTTGCTAGTGGTGAAGCGGTTAGGTAACACTTGAGAGCTTCAAAAGCGTACAAAACGATAAACTGATGTACAAAATTCACTGTTTTTATAACCACTGCAATTCAAGTGATATCAGGCAAGGTTTTTGTCTTAGATGCACTCACTAAACTTTAAATGAAACATTATTTCTCAATGACCGCAAGTCACATTCACAAAGAACTTGACATTTTTGTGAATGTAAAAAGCTACTTATGTCTACTAAAATTTCAAACTCAGATATTGACACTAAATTGAGTTTTATTGAAAAGGTACTGCCGTTACTAATAACCCTGCCTGCAAAAATGGGTTTATCTTATTTTACCAACACTTCAAGTACGTGTAATTTTCATAATCTGCGGGTAAAAGTCAACATGGAATTTTTTAGGTTCGGAAAAAAATTTATTGGTGTTTGAAAACAAATACAAGCCTTAAAAAATTTCAAATGGAACTGTTAGGCAATTTGCTTCGTTACAATTTACCATAAAAGAGTATAAAAGTGACGAGTGCTTTTAAGTGGTAGATTATGTGCATCTGAAAAAAAGCAAATAATGTAAAATTTGTTTGATTTCGTTAGGTAAAAGTTGCTTTGTACATGACTTCTTTGTGTGCTAAGTAAATGTTTTGGTTTACGTGGAATATGAGATTGACCAACACCCAGTTTAGCAGTTTTAAGTTGCAAGTTAACATCGAAAACAAGTATTTTGCACCAAAAAAAGAATCGTCGGCTAATTTAATACTGAAAACACTCAGATCAAAAAAATAGCCTATAGAAATTTTCACCCAGTAGAAATTGAATTTTGACTTACACTAAAGAGGTAGCATCGAACGGATACCGTAGAGGCTATTGAGAACTTAAGATAAAGAAGATTATTAGACTACAAGCAAATTGTAGAACTCTTGAATGTCCATGGCCGTCATTGTTGAAGTGCGACTTTGAAAGTTCTTTCTTCGGTTATTCTACGGGTCAACTAATGCTTTAGAGTGCACACCATTTATTTTGCTTGCAGCGCCAAAAGACACTTCGCGTTAGATGGTGACAACATTTTGACTATGAAAGATGTATCATGTCGCATAGTTTAAGTCGTGCTTAAACTTCCTGTTTGCATTTATGCAACGAATGACAGCATAACTCGAGCCCAGAAGCGAAAATGTCCATAACACTCGTCCAGTGTAAAAGCAGGTGAATTTCAATCACAGTTGATTTATCTGATCTAGAGCTATACCCCCGATGTTAAGAAATATGCAGTGGGTCTAAAATTGCACCAAAGGAACAGTTAACACCAATGAATTCAGAAAGCTTCGAAAAGATTCTCTCGATTTACTTCAAAGATTCTCTGAATTCACGGTGTTCAATGTGTCAACCTAAATGTACTGGCACTAGAATAAAATTGATGTAGGGAAAAGGAGGCATTCTTTCGGCCGACTTAGGTAAAGTCTTACGACGTCATCAATCTAGATGCCCTCATAATTTCTGTTGCTGATGCCTCCTGGTCGGTAAGAATCTTTGATGGTCTTTGCTAATTACTAAATAACCTACGCATGAAAGTGCGCAATCAGTTGGGCTTTGCTTAACCACCTTAATGCGATTGTAATTTCGGAGATAAATAAATGGATATGTTACAAGAAAACTATGCAAAAAACCACCCGTGGTTACGAAAACATCGCATTCTCATAGAACTTGACCTCGGAAGCATTTACGAATGGCCAATGAGAAGTCCACTTCTACTAATACTTCCAGAGCAGACGACCATTTTATTACAATATTCTGAAGAGTAGGGATTGAAAGCAGTGTGTTTTAAATTGCCAAGTTGACGGAAATCGGGTCCAAGAAAGTCTAAAAAGACTTCGAGAAATTCCCAATCTCTTGGTGATCCCAACTTCGGTGGCGGTAAGGTTGCTCTGCATTCTGATAATATTTATTCGGTCAAAGAATTAGCTTCAAAGAACTTATCCATTCCCGGGAAGGTTTCTTCTTAACTTTTGACATTAGTGTTTTTTTTTTTTATTTAATCCTATAAAATCAGGGTGTTATTCACAAAAGTTTACTGCAAAACCCGAAACTCCGTAGCCGATGAGAGGTAGTGCTAGCTTCATTAGTTGTGAATAATGAAAAAAAAATGAAACGTAGGAGTTGAAACGCTCCGTATTTCAATGTGCAAAATGCTAAAATCGAATGATTTTTATTCGCTTTAAAGGTACTATGTCCTATTGCTAGATTTGTTTTTCGAATAAAATGGCTGCAGGGATTAACGCAAGCCAACGAAATAGCGGGCTAACAAAGAGGATGTTTGAAGAACATGAAAGACACTGTTACAAGACTATCTCGGACATAAATGTTGTTTTTAAACAGAAACTCAAGGCTTAGGACTTAACGCCAAAACCCTGCTCAGTTGATATGACGTCGAAAATGTCCTGTTTATCACTGTTGCATGACGCCGCCAGTCTAAGGGTTATGTCTGTCGTCTCTCCACTGAGCACACAGTGTAGATGATTTTTGTAGGGTATTTTGGTTTTACAAGAAATGTCTCTAGGTCGCTTCAAGTTACAATCGTCCAAACAATTGAGTTTGTGTATTTCTGTCATCTTTTAGAGGTTAATTTAATATCCAGAGAAGTGAAACTGACTGCGTGTGGTCTTCCTAATGCCTCAGCTGGAGACGCCACACCTTCGTGAAGATGTGAAGTGTTAATCAAGTGATTGGTTCAATTGGATGTCGCAAACACTATGATTTGCATTTATCGGAATGACAACCAGCTTAGTGTACTAATGATGTCATTTCTCTGACCATGAAAATGCCAACAAATTGATTGGACTGCGTTGTTTGACCTACTTTTTGTATATTATCATTCACTACACCTATTCTAAGTCACAGTTTAACGCTGAGACTTATCCTATTCATGATACATGAGGATTTCATGAATAAAATATTACATTCAAACTCTAAAAGATCACGATTAGTTTGAATATTTTAAAACAAACAAAGTGTTAATTGTCTGTTTTTTGTGTTATAAAATGTTACTCAATTGTGCAATATTTGCTTAAAAACTCCACCTTTTTAGTGAAGTACTGCCATATTTATGAAACTGAAGGAAAAAGAGTAATGCTGCTCTTTGTCACATAAGTGCTGTGAGAACAGTTGCCTGTGAGCCCATTGAAATGACGAATCAAACACAAAAAGTGCATCAACCTGTTCTCTTTGATTTCTTATACATGTCCTACAAAGCAAATATAACCCTACTGTTAATATTCAACTGCACGCCAATCGAACTAACCCAAAAGGTAGATCTCCATCAGCTTAAATGGATGCTAAGAAAAACAAATACCTTAATCTCTATGCAAGGTTTCGCACACAGAAGTATGCTGAAGCCTTGAGAGAAGTGGCATCAAGTTAAAACGACGGCAGAGTGGAACTTTAAGACTATTGGGTATGTTTAGGTCCCGGTTTTTACCTTTTTTGTGATAGCACTGAGGATTCGGCAAACCCACTGATTATAAAAGTGTTTTTTTTAATCAAGACGCATGAATAATTGTGTCATCCAATAGTTCACAATGTCACCTTAATTCTCTGATAGTAACATAAAAACACAGACTCCACAATTCAAAGATGTATATTGAGAAATTGAGTGATACACGGATTTTGTTTCTGTTACTTCATGTAGAAATTTTGGCTTCTCAGCCACCAATTATTTTTTCCTGATTTTAATTTGTCTCTGTTTACAACCCTATCATTTGCTCTATAAACTAATTATTCAAAGAGAGGCAAACATTTTATAAAGCAAATGAAATGAGTTTACAAATTAGCTAGTAAATTAACCGGTAATTTTTTAAGCCACCATGTCACCCTTAAAATATTGTTAAAATATCTGCACGAATAACTATGGTTTACTTCTGATGTTTAATCGTAATTGGACTGGTTTTATATTGGAATTAAAATTCAAAGATAGATTCTAGTTTTTCAGCGCATTATGGCGAAGATTTGTAAAATAAAACAGCACCTATTGACTCTGTGAATTTTTTTGCACTCCAGTAGAGGACATTGGGAAGCCTCCCTAATTTACAAACGCTTTTTCCTTTAAACATTTGTTAATGAATAAAGTAAACACTGGTTTTTAGAGTTGGATTAAATTTGATTAATTAACTTTGATTGATGTGCTAACATTTTAGCAATTTTGAATAAACTTGGTTTAAATGCTGGGTTGTGGCAACAGGTGCAGGGTTCACCAGAATTTAGTTTTCATATCCAAGTAATTTTGGGCAAATTTCTCATAGCGCAGGCAACGTTATTTCCGATTAACCTTTTAGTTTCTCCGCACAGGGGCAGTTTTTCCTCTTCTCCACTTTTCAACTTTCAAGGCTGGCCAGACATGCATAATTTTCGTATTTTTTCCTCCAAACGCAACATACGTCACGGCGCATGGACAGCAATTGCCTTTAAATTCATGTAATTGTTCTTTTAAAAGGCAATTCAGTCTGAAAATTCATCTAAGAAACTTCGTGCGGTGATGAGTAGGTATTGTAAATTTTGGTATTTTGGGATTTTTAAGACACTTGATGTGGTTAAAATTGAGAGTGGTCTATATTATGAGAATATATCTGTTCCCAAAGCCATTACATGATCTCAATTCTAAAAATCACCATGAGATCCGAAAGTCATGTATAAATTATAAATAGTTTGGTTTGTACTTATTTTCGTCAAAGAATTGTGTAAGTATCTGATGAAAAACCTGACGATGTCACACGCAGCATCTTAACGATTCCAACTGTATTATAGCAGCGGAATATAAAAGGAAATTTTGCAGGATTATCAGTCTAAGAGTAAAATGTTTACTGAATTAAATAGATAGATCAGTTCACACCTCTAGTTTAGGATTTGTTGGTTGAGTTAGTATTCTCAAAATGGTATTAAATAAATGAAAGAACTTTGCCAATTGAATGAACCACCTAATAAAATTAAGGACTGGGCAACGCACCGCTTTAAGAGAATGTCATACTCATCTGATGTACTCTCCAGCCAATTTTGGACCTGTTTTTCGACAGGTTCCCGGACAGAAAATGGTGGGATGACGGACGCAGACGCTGACACTGACGATGGGTTTCCTTGGTCGATGGCCTGATTTCGCGGACGAGCATCTCCCTCCTCGGTCTCCCTCGCCCAACATTTTATTCCAGGAGGAAGATGGAGTGGTGGTTGGTGATGCTTGATGGGCTGCGCGGGTGGAGGTAGTGGTGGTGGCTGGTACGCCTGTTCCACAGAATTCTGTCCAACCTGGGAAGTGGAACTAATTCGCCTGGCGTGTATTCTTGTAACATGGACTAAAATTGTAGATAATATGAATCATACTTTTCCCCATTCATTGCTTTCTGTTTACTAAAATTCAGACTCCAAATGTTCAGAACCTTGTGTCCACGAAAGCGTGTTCCTCACTATTGTGATACATGTGCTGAACCGGATAACTTGTCGAAGAAGGAAACCCATTCTTAAATTCAGCTTTCACAGTGTGTGCACACAAGCAGACATGGTGTTTGGTGCGGACGTCGCTTACTGCCGTCATCGTTTAACCATGCCTGTAATTGACGCCTTCACCCACTTTAAAAACAAGGATTCTTTTTCAGACATGCGTCCTTATACCAAATGTTTCATTTTACAGACAACCATTCTGTCTAGTATACAATCAACAAATGAATAACTGTAATGTTATACCTTATACAAAGACAAAGTTTTCGTGGTGAAATGCAAGCCAGTCCATGGCTTCACAAAAATCCATGTTCATCATTTTAGAACACATTAAATAAATAAGTCGTAAATAGCTTTTCAACACCAGTAGTTGATACGTGCACAAGCAAAGTTACACTGACTGTACTTGTAATCCCCTTCTGTGTGTGTGTGTGTGTGTGTGTGTGGCAAATTAAGCGATGTTGAAATGCCTTCAATGATACGCTTGGTTCTCTAAGCAATTAGCCGTGAGCACAGTCAAGACTCCTGCAGCGGATATTTAGGCATGCATGCATAGGCATGCATTCCTTGCCGCTTGAAGGCAATTGTTCTTGTGCAAAGAACAGTTATTATTTATTAAGGCAAATCGTAGATGCTCACATTGACTTCCCTCACCAATTAATTGACTAGAAAAACACACATTTCATTAATAATGCAAGTCGCAAAGAAGTCATTGCGTGAAAAATTCGATGGGAGTAAGAGAGGCTGAACTCGCGTCTGAATTTCCCGTAAAACGCCATCATGTAAAATCGCAGGCATTGGTGACACGTTTGCTAAGCGGTGTCCGTCTTAGATGTAATATTGTCCATCAAGCGCTCAAATTATGCATAACGTGACCAATTTAGCTTTGTGGACATACATGCCAGAGTTCAAAAATGCATGACATTAACTCTGAAAAAAGTTACGTCCAGGTAGAATCCGGAAAGACGAGTATTTGTGCCACATCCTCTGTGTGATGTAGCATTAGACACACATTTTCTGAAGTTACCATTTTTATATAAGCAAATTTCAAAGTGATACAGGTCAGTTTCTCTTCAAACCCCGTAGAGCAAACTTGAGTCGTCCCCAGGACTATACCGTAAGTGGTGTTAGTTGTTCCGTGTGATAAATAATTTGCATCATGCTTATCCAGTTTTAACACATGGAGTTAACATGGAACAAAGCTCCGTTGGAAGCCACTGACGAGGTTTTTTTTCGAACTGATGCAATAAACTTAGTGAAATGAATGCATGGGGCAACGTAAACATGCAGGGAGACATGCAAGGCTAAGAATTATTCATGTTTTCTAGAAATGGCCAATTTTAAGCAGACAGCGGTCGGCTTAATAGGGCATGATTGTAAGTGATTCAGTTAACATGGCTCTTCTTGTGCATTCCCCACCAATTTTCATGCAAACTTTCCAGGGTAGTTGTGACTTTCCATGAGTGAATAAAATTAACTTTCAATTACCTGACACCAAGTCATATCTAACTCCTAGAGCTTTGCTCACTTGTGTTCTCCTATAAATAAACCAACCACACGCTTTATTTCAATTTTGGCATTTGCTTTCACGAAATATGGATCTTTTCTCTCACATGAGATCTTACCATTTGTTTTGTGTCGCTCAGAGATTCCAATTCTCGTGCCAAAAACACTGATTATTAAAAATATTACCAGTTTTCAATGCAATATAATCCTAACATTACATTTTTCCTTTGGGACATTTTTGCTGAAATAAAGTAATGCTACCTGTCCTCGGGGGTGGTTGAGTGGGTAGTGAAAGAACCCCCTCTTGAGCACTTTCGGTTGGTCGTGATGGTGTAAGTTCCACGTTGGTTTTTTCATCACTCCAGTTCCTGTTATGATAAAACGAACCGTTGCAATATTTCAATATAGAGATCAAGCATCTACTTGATTTAGTATATATTCATATTTCGTAAATAGGTTCTGTCGAATTTCATGATCCTTAACACTTTGTTGCCCATCTCGACATTCACTAACTCCCAATCGATATGTAGTTACTAAAACTTATCACCCACATTCTTTTAATTCAGTTCAAAAGTTGCATTAAATGAGTTACAAAATGCTGAAATGTCTTTATAACCTTAGAAAAACGATGTCACACAAAGTTAGCATACACCCGGCATAGAACTCGCTTGAATTACCGAGACCAAAATTTTGCTCGCCGTGTCGTAATTTAATTATAATCGACTAGGAGCACTTCTTGATTAAGAGAAAAAGGTGCAGTACATTATTTTTTTCCAACATTTCGTGCTTATCTCATTGAATTAATACGACTTGACTACTTAACTTTTTAAATTACGACTAGTCAGGCAGGGTTCTTTTTTCTGGAAATATTTTTGTCGAAATCGGACATTCAAAGCTTCACTTTACTTTTACTTTCAGACAAAAATTTATGATCAAGTGTAATGCCACTAGACAAAGATAGCCTTTTGGGTTGTTTTGCGTTTTCCGTGACGTGTTTCATGGCCATCTTAACCATCCCTCGATATATTTACAATTAGAATCCAACTGGTCTCCACCGATTTACTTCTCCATTATAAGTTGTGGGAACTTACTCGGTAGTTGCTTCATCCAATGAGGAGTCCAGATCGTAAATTTTTTGTCGACGGAGCAGCTTTCGTTTTTGCTTTAGTACATGACGATCAGCGGAATCTCTATTCCCTGTCTGTTCCTTTAAACAAGCAACAAAAATATTAATTAAACTTGATAAAATGCATGTGCAATTGCTGATGCTTTCTTGCATACATGAACACGAGTGTTTATAAAGCATTGAATTTGTAAATACGTGATAAGGAATGCCTAATTAACACTTAATTTTCCGTGCATTTTCCAGGTTAAATTATTTATCCAACTGGGGCTATTTTTGCCCAGTCTAATGAACTTGGTTGCTTCACAATCAGGTTAGCTGTCTTAATTTACAACAACGTGAATATATTTCAGTATGTCTTGACAATGAGATTTTACTTATTCTTAACATCTCTAGATGGCTATCGTTATTTATTCCAAAGGAAGGCGACTGTAAATGCATTTTGGAGTCAGGAAAATGTGACATGTGTCAACAAAGTGCGCATTCGCACCGAAGTTAAACCAAAAAATTGTATATCTGACTCACTAATTCTGCAGCAAATTTGACAAACCAGACAACTTCATTCACTTTGACAAGCACTTAATTTTTCTTTATGTTTTTACCTGCTACAATTAACAATAATCTTTAAAGATAGCTCAGAAGTTTAATTAAGCAGAACTAGCAAAACTTTGCTTATTATTTTGGTAGTTTCGATTCGAGGATTTTTAAGTACATTTTTTCGCTTATTGATAACTTCGAATGAAACCACAGTAGGGTCTTTTTAGCGAAAAACTATTCTGCTCCTATATCTAACAGCACTCCTTCGTGAATTTTGGCATCGAAATGCATACACTTACCATCACAAAGTCGTGAAACCCCTAGAAAGGTGTGATATTTAATCTTGGATTTAGAAAACTGATAGCTATATTTATAAAAAGTCAGCAGAATGCATCACCAATGTAATCATTTAGATAATGCTTATTTCTGGTAAGGTCTCTAAACGTGTTTAAAAAGCTCCATGCATTGTGGGCTTAACAGAGAGTCCACTTTCTTTTAATGAAATCTGTTTATAAGACGCGGATTCCAGTTAAACCTGAAAACGGTTTGACAAACTGAAGAGTTTTAAATAAAAGAAAAAGATGGGCTAGAATTATCGGAGCAATTAATTTTTCATTGTAGACGAGATCGAGTAAAGAAGTTTGTGTCCGATAACGCGTCAAAGCATTGAGCATTCCAAAAATGGATTTTTTAGTCATCATCTAGTTCTCCATAAAATTTGGACTGTCATTTCATACCACTCTATTAGGAAAGTAAAAAAAAACAAATCATGAAATGAATAAATTTTTTACTTTGATATCTGCATTTCTGGAGATCTCTTGCTCACAAACGGTGTCGTTATCGGTGAACTTCAAGGGAGGAATCGAGGAGAGGCTATCGTAGGGTCCCAAGGGAAACTCTTTTCTTCCTATGGTACCTCGAATTAGTCGACTCAGAACACCTCCCGAACTGATCCTACCTTCGTCGTCTTTTTCTTCTTTTTCTTCTAAGGCTCTTTTATTGTGTGACCTTGGTGATAGAGACGACGTTCTCTTGATTGACGCCGAACTCGACACCTGGCTGCTCTCGAGGTCGGGGCACGTGAAGCCGAGGTCCAGCCGAGCGAGATTTCGCGCCACCCGATAAAGCGTTCTTTGCATGAATGGACAGCATGTGCGCTGACGCGGCATTTTGGCTTTTGTCACGAGGTATTCGAAGCAGTAGTTATTTCGCGGCTCCATTGCAGGTGATTTTGGCTTCTAAAGCAGCAAAGATCATTGCAATGTTCTACGTGTCGCTGGCTTACTTCGCCCTTGGCGATCATAATGCAAGGTAAAAAAAATTGAAAACCAATATCCAAAGCAACACTGAAGATTGTCAATTTTATTTGATTTAGGTTCGCGCATTTTACTGATACCTCAGGTATTCATATTTGGTTAGGTGTTTTTTGGTATCATTAATTTCTGTTCTATATCCACAAATTGGCCACCAATTGAACAAAATTTGTGGGAACATACTTCATGCAACTCAAAATTCAATTTCTTCCTATTTTCATGTTTGTATAAGGAAGCGTCGCGCAAAGTTTGTTGAATGCATCTAAACGAAAATGCAAACTCGGTTGTCTCTGCGTGTTGTTGTGATTTTGTAGCCAACGCAGCACTGGTGTGCATCTGCCAGGATGTGTCCACTAAGTCCATCCTAATTGTTCGGTAATTTTTCTTTAGTTGAGAAATTCACGTTTGTGTCGACTCTGCGAGACCTCATGGCTTCAAACTTAGTACTGCATTCAGAATTCGATCACTGTTATTTGACCTTTTATTTAAAAAAAAAAAATTATACATCAATTTTCTTATATTATGATGCATTACCCGGAGCACCATAGAGTTTAAAAATTAAGTAAATTCTTGCAAGCTAAATATTTCAGAGAAAAAAACGTCACCTGTGCACATGCAACACAAATTTCAAACTAAAGGCTTTATGCTTTCAATTGATGCGAAGCATAATCTACGTGACAAAAAGTAGCCTGCAAGTTGTTCACTTCAATTTTTCTGTGCAGTAAATAGACACGAAACAGCCTGATTATTGGTACAAGATTCACAAAACGTTTGTCAGAAAAATTGCTGGTCATAACCAAATATGGGGCCTCTTCGTATTATTTCAAGGCGCACATTTACCTTGCTTCAAAGTTAGTTAGCTCACTTGTAAACAGCTACAAAAAGGGAATATTAGGACCATACCGCTAAGGTCCTTACGAATCCACCCATCTTAATCTACGAGATGCAACTAAAATAGAGCTATTAGTAAAAGGATGAGCTATTTACATTAGTCAAGCATATCGTAACAGAGGTAAATTCAGGTTGAAATCTGGAAATAAGATTTTTCATATTAATAGAAATCCGGTAGAATTGAAGGAAGACTTCATTCAAAACTTTTTGTCCTTTGCTATTTCGATTTATTTTTTTTCACGTCAATTGCTGTTTTATAAATTTATTTGCAACGGAAGCAACTACCTCTTACATGACGACATTGTCCCCCCCCCCATGGAACTGATGGTGCTTGTAATGTTCCAAAGTAAATGAGAAACTTGCAGTGTAACGGAGCCAAGAAAAGCCAACGTGATTAAACAATCTGCCATCTCTGTTAAATGCCAGCCGTTTACAACAGCCCAGAGTTCTACTGTCCAGTTAAGTGGAATCGTGTGTTTTTCCTATTTCCATTATCAAGTCACGTTTAGTGGTTTAAAATGTTTGAAAAGCAGTAAGCAAAACAGGAACGCAGAGTTGATAGGGAATAAGATAAGCCAGAAGTTACCTACCCTTAGAAATGATTTTAATTCTCGATGGATTTCACGGTTTAACCTTACAAACTTGATGGCTTTTTCAACAGCAGCAAATAAAAGTTGGTTCAATCATTGAATTAAGCATTTAATTGCCATGGTATTAAGCCGGACATCAGAGACAGTGAAACTAAATTGCCGGTTTTTTTCAGAAAACAAGGAACAAATCCCAAAAACAGGTCTTGAAAACACAGATTTCTAAGAAACTCTGCAGATTCCTTAGGTATCTTTGTTTACTGAAAACAAAGATTACTTCCAGATATTTTCAGCAATCACAAATTCGTAATTTTGACGGAATGGCTTTCGTGATAGTTTAAAATTTAATAAGTGTTTCATTAGGTGCATTCTCCTTAGAAGAGATGTAAATATCTAATTCGATTTCATCCGTGCTTCGTGCTACTCACAACATGGGCCAAATATCATGCCCTGACGTCATGCGTTGCCCAAATTCAGCTATGAAAAAGCTAGTGGTTTATGCTGCAAAAATTTCGGATTATGACCTTCATCAAAATAATTTAAGAATGATCCTAATAGGCCATTTTTGGGAGTCGAAACAATGTTGGGTCAAGTCCAGATGAGGCTATGTTTAGTTAACTTCCAGATATGTCATTAAACAAGAAGCCATATCCGTCCACAAAGTACCGCTTTCTATATTCAGGAACATCGAGTAGACTGCTGGAGGGAGTGTGTCACAGCACATGTGAAATAATATGTCCGTTATAGGTTACTCTGGAATTCGGAACTTTATTTTAAAATTACTTTTCAAGGTAATCTGGGCCTTAAAAGAACCAACAAAATAATTTATATATTTGGACGACGAAAGCGAACAAAAATTTTTAGTCATCTGAGTTGGATAACCATCGCATGAACGGGTCTTCTTTATGAGAGAAAATGGCCAGAAATAACACTCATCTTATTTTACTACTATCAAATAAAATGAACTAAAACAATAAAGATCTGAAGATTAAGCGAACTTCCTATTCGCGAATTTCGATTTCTCTAATTCAGAATCTGCATAAGCTTGGGTTGGATTACTCTTAGTTGTGGCTTTCTTAATCTCCATAACTACCATGTCAGTCCTTATTGTGAAGTAGAATTATCTAAGGCCGTTCATTCAGTGCTGAAGATTCACTATTTTTTTGAATGTGAATAGAAACCCTCACAAAGGTCGCGTCGCTACATGCACATGTGAGCAAACATCAGTGCTGTTTTGCTACTCAGTTTAATGCAATTTGTCTGATTATAGTTAGTGAGAAGCGAGGTAATCTCCTCACCTTTTTCATTTCTCGCACTGAGAAGTTGGGTTGCGTGATGTTACGTCTTAATTATTAATATCTTTCCACTCCCTGCTGGATCACGTCGGGATGAGCTGTAAGCGAGACTGAGAGGCGGAGGAGGGGGGGGCGAAAGAGACTTTAAAGGATATATATATATATATATATATGCACACACACACAGATACACGAGCCATGACTGCGTATGAGTTAGGCCGACTAGGCTTCTACATTCAAAACGTCAACCAGTACAATTGGTCTAATTACCGGATCATTGTTGACCCGACCAATGTCACTTCGACCTAGCCGAGTAGAATGCATATACTCATTTTGTTCGAGGCGTGTGGCGTGAATAGAGAAACACGGAAAAGTTAATACTTCATGAAATCAAACTGACTGGCTACCAATAACCAATGTAGAGAGCTAAGTCCGAGTAGCAGCCTTTGGCGAAATGACGACATCGGAATCTGGGTTTAAATCTTTTCCTGAAAACTCAAGATCTCACATACATTGTTTGGAATTCTCTTTCCCAAACCAGACAAATTGCAATGCAGCATTGAGGAGACCATGACAGCTTTTTTAACAGCGGGCCAACGATTAGCGAAAAACAAAGTCGCCCATTAAGGTCACATTTTGCTCAAATTTAGAATTCTGCTATCATATTCACCTTTGCTAAAAAAATAAGGGTTGTGGATTTCTTAAGGTGTATTGCGGCAAGCCCATTAGAAGAAATTGATTTTTATCCGCATTGGATGCTTTAACACTTAAGACAGCTGTTAAGAATATATATATATATATATATATATATATATATATATAT